TAATTATGTTCTTGTTCTTAAACTTAAGAACAATTCCTTTTTTCCTTAGTTATATGGAACCAGTTCTACTGTTAAAATTAATCCTTGAAAAGACAAATAAAAATCTTAAAAATGGAAACCTGAGTCTTGTGAATCCTACTTTTCACGTATCTGACTTATTATAGCAATACAAGCCTGGTGTTCTCCCCTATGAAGGTGCTTTGGACAACATTTGCGTAGTGGCTGCCAAATAAAGTCCAGAGGTTTCAGAATCATTTGTCAACACCAAAGACAACATTACCAAGATCTGGTCCATTCTTCCCAGAGGTCATTCCTTCTGATCTATGGGTTTATTACCTAAAGCAACAATTAATCTTGCTGCCTTTGGAATACAAAATATTTTTAGCCGAAGTAGCATCCTCCCCCGAGCCATATTTCTAACTGGGCATCCCTGCCAGGAGGTTTAACAAAAAGTCCACTGGCTGGACATCAAGGGATCTGTCTCCATCCAGAATCTGTAGCTAACCCAGCTTCAGTTCAGCTGTGAACAAGGTCCCTACTTCTCTGAGCTTCGGCTGTCTCATTTTGAAACCACAGATGATTTCTAATACCTTTCCCTTTCAAAAACTCCAGAATTACAGAATCTCTAATATTTTTGAAAAGGACGTATGCAATAGAAAAGGTTATATTTTCTATTCAATAATTTTTAATGTGAACATGAATATTGTATGTGGGTGAGTTTTTGTATACTGCCTCTATATGCATATATAAGTATGTGCATATACATATTTGTATCAGTACACACATACACTGATACCATTAGGTGCTTATACAAGGACTAATTGCTTCCAACTCAAAGCAGCAAATTTTCAATTCTGCAACAGATGTCGCTGTGTGATTTCTCCTTTCTGTGCTGGATTTTCTGTTAAAAATGCCCAGCATTATGGTCAGTACTATTCTTCCCAAGAAAGATAGACAGCATTTTAATCCTTTGAATTTATTTCTTACAAATTTTTTCTTATGCTGGTCACTTTCCATTCAAATCACAGTATCAATTAGTTTGGCCTCATTTAAGAAATTCCCCCAAATGAAAACAGGATTTCTGTTAATAGCAAACGCACACACAATTTTTAAATGTAAATTCTAAATGAAAAATAAGGCGTTAAAATGTAACATACAGAAACCCAACGAGAATGAGACCGTGTATATTCATAGTAATATTATCAATTTTCAAAACCTAAAAAGTCATTTAGCAAAGTAGGGTAAGTAGTAATAAAAAGTCATTTACATATGAGGTTAAAATGTACCAGGTGTGGGGAAAAGTCACAAAAACTCCAAAACATCATTAATGATAATAAAAATTCTGGATTTTAGCTTTTACAGCATTTCTTCAAAAATAAATATAGTACAGCTAATGTTATAATTGCAAGACATCTTACCAATCTGACATTCACTATCAACCACCTCTTGACACATGTCATAGAAAAGTGACAGCTCTTTCCCTTCAACCAATATATCTTCCAATGATCATCAATCTCAACAGGTAGCTAGCACTATCGTCTGATGAAATTTTGTGTGGGGGGGGGGTGTTAAGATTTTCCCTTTGGAACCCAGAAACCGGTTACCTTCTGGAATTTTTGAGGGAGTGGAAAGCGAAGCAGGCAATGAGTCAGGCACCAACTCCAATAAGAATATGAAGTCAGGAAGCCAGAGAGGAAGCGAAAGTGTCCTGCCTATTGGCGTCTTCCCTGTCCCACTCCCCTTTACCAGGAGGGCCACTGGGGAAAACTGGATAAAGCATGTACAACATCCATATGAATAAAGCTCTTTGTTCCAGAGAACTGCCTGCTCTTTTATTCCCCCCTTTTTCGTATTTGTTCATTTCAAAAGATTGCTCAATGGGTCTCTTGTTCCTCCAAAATGTCCCAGGCAAATAATGCAAGCTTGTCTCGTCACACAAGTCACTAAATGAAGCCTTGTGCGTCTCCAGTGACACACTGTAAATATAAAGTGGCATTAATGAGGGATATTTTATCAAAGCTATCACAGGCAAGTGCAAGTCCCTCCTGCGGCTATTCAGTTTGATGCAGGGAAAGGCAACAATAGCAGGCCGGCACTTTTGCAAAGTCCCTGTCCCTGGGATGCAAGCCCCAACAGGCTGCGGCAAGCAAAACTCAGCCCCTGACTTCCCGTCACCACCACAAATCTCCCACCCATCAGCCATCTTCTCTAATCCCCAAAAAAGGTAACAGAGGGTGATCTACCACTGGTTCATTCAGGATCCAAAACATCATGCATGCACTTTAATGTAACAGGCATAATTAACACTGCTTAGGCAATACCATTCTGGCTGCATTTCATGAACATCCATTTCATCCAAACACCACCAGGAGGGATGGGAGATTTTCTCTAGAGGGATAGATGGCTTCACTCACAGGGGAAAAAGAATCAGGACTCAGTGCTTAATGGCTGGAGTTCTCTTTCCTAGCAAGGATGTAAATGAAACAAGCCTAATGAAGTTCAAAGACAGCACCAACAGGTTTCTTTAATCCTGGGAGTGGGAATCAGGAGCTTCTCAGATCACATTAACAAATCTGAGGAAGAAAAGTCCCCTAGGCGTTCACCTGAAATTTACCACCAGAATATGGGATTTAGGGTTGGGCCAATATCCCCCTCTCAAACCTAGAGCCAAAAAAAAAAAAAAAAAACACGCATAAAAAATTAAAGAAAGTCCCCTCACTACAAATCAAACCCAATTACTTTCTAATTTGAACACAATCTGATAAACAGAGTACAAACAGGGATGTACACAAGAGCAAGAAGCTGCTTCCATGGTAACTGGCAACAGAATTTTCATGTAGCTTTGACATGCACAGTTGAGTATCAGACCGCTCCTTTCTAAGTCAGCACATATCCCTCGCCGGGAAGGCAACTTCTCACCGCGAGATAGTTACAAATATAGTACTGTTGTTACTACCCGGTGCCTTCAATGAGCAGGCTTGACATGGGAAGCCTAATCTAATCCAGTTCTGCTGCCAAGAGGCATTGCATGGCTCCCGTTTTCAGGCAATATCCCCGACCAGCGCTTTCCTCCCCACCTTTTTTGCAGCTAATACAAGTCTATTGTTGCCTCTATTATGCGCCAGTTACCGAGCCTTTACTCACGCTCACGTTTAACTGACACTGGCGCTTTTTACAATGCAGCAGCACGAGGGATCTTTTTCAGGAACATTTTATCGAACCCCTCTAGTCAGTGGCATCACCTGAAATGAAGTTGTAACCATACCCGGCATCGGCTGAACCCAATTATCTTGAAACTCATAAATTAAGAATTCACAGAGGAAAACATATAAACAACATCCGAAGACTGACGATGGCAGGGAAGAAAAAATCCCCCAACGCTGGGAATGAAGCCGCTGCCAGACTCTCACCCCTACGGCCCGATATACTCTCCAAGCAGAGATCCTCTGTAAGCCTGTTTTGGGGAAAAGCACCAACCGGCCATCCCCCAAATACAAAGCCCAGTACCCCCAGATATCCCCATTTCCTACAGCGTGTCTCCTGCGGTGTTTACATAACTGTGTGTCCTCTAGCGTGTAAACAAAAGGCACAGCCCAAGCAAAAAGGCGCTGAGCCCGCCCGGGCCAGGGGCTCCGCAGGTGGGGGTTGAGCTCTCGGCGTCCTCCGCCACTTGTTGCTCCGGGTCCTGCAGCTCTCGAGCTGCAAGGAGGGGCTTTGCAGGCGCATAGCCATACTGCATCCCCTCATGCACCGCCGCCCGCCCCCCGTACCCGGGAGCCACTCGGTCCCGGCGCCCGCAGGGAGCCCACAGCAGGCGGCCAGGGGCGCAGGGAAGCCGCGCCGCTGCCGAGCGCGAAGAGGCGGCGGGAAGGGAAGCAAGGGTGCAGCACGACCAGCCTCTCCGCTGGGGAAGAGCTCCGGTTCCCTTTTGTTAGCAAATGCAAACACTGCCCTCTTCTTTCCCGACCGCGCCAACGCGCCCGGCACACGGACAGCCACACATGGAGCTCCTGCCGAGCGCACGGTGTCTTCAGGGAAGGCGCCAGGCATGCAGAGCCGCCCCTGGGCAAATTCCCAAGACTGCTCTCCACGAGGAGGGTGCCCGGAGGCCCACAGGGAGCCCGCCTGGACGCAGAGGCCGCGAACGCGCCCTCCACCACCCTCCGGCCGCCGAAAGGACGAGCTGCCGGGAAATCCGGTGTCCCCACTCGTGGCGGAGGACGCCGTGGGGCGGGCGGGATGCGGGCTCCCCGCGCCTTCCCGCAGAGGCGGTGACAGCGACTGCCCCCCCCCGTGGGGCCGGGCCCGGGGAACTTTCCCTGCCTGGATCCCGGCCAAGAAGACCCGCAGCCTAGCCGAGGGGGCGGAGGGGCTGCGATGGGCCGGAGGGAAACACTAGAGACGTGCAGTTCGGGGACCGAAGAGAGGCAGAGCGCGGGGAGCGGAGGAGAACAGACAAGTCTGAGGTGTCCTGGGAACCCGCAAGGAATCACGCCGGAGGCGGCGGGTAGTCAGCCATAGGGAGGCTTGGGGGATGGAGAAGTCGGGCGCGGGGGGCGGGGGGAGTTGCTCAATGGAGAGGTGGGGGCAAACCGGCAGCCCTGGGAGACCAGAGGACCTGCAAGTTGCGGGGACATCAGCGAGTTTAAGAGGGTCCGGAAGGTTTGGGGGTGCCTTCGATCCCTCCCCTTCCCCCATACTCTCTAGCCCCCGGCCCCCCAGTCTCACTCCACTCCGCACCTCGCGCCAAGCCAGGGAGAAAAGGTGTGGGTGCAGCCATCCCTGAGGGCTCTCATTCATAACCAGCCGGCCAGGGAAGGGGAGCAGCGATTCCCTCAGCCCCTTCCATCTCAGCCGTGGAGTTTTCTCTCCACACTCCCTCCGCTTCGGATTTAGGAAGTGGGGGGAGGTTGTCATGGAAACGTTTCCCCCCTCCATGGCTACGGCTACTGGGGTGCCTGGGGAGGTTTCGGGGCCAACTGGCCGGTACCAACACCTACCTGTGGGGATCAGAGCCGCTGAGGAGAGGAGCAACAGCAGAAGCCGGAGCCGAAGCCCTGGAGGCGCCGCCGCCGCCGCCACAGCCGCTGCCGCCGCACACTGGGATCCGCTCGGCAGCACAGCACTCGCCATGTCGGGCACCTGCCTCAGACTGGCGGCAGTGGCTGCCTCCGGAGCCCGAGCGGACAACTAATGAGATGCTAATTACATGCACTGAAGGCGGAGTCCGAACAGGCCAATCACAGCGACGCGAGCCCAACCCGGCTCTCGAAGGACTCGCCCCCTCCCCCACCCCGCCCCCTGGCGCTGGCGTTCGGCGGCGCGCCCGCGCCACCTAGGGGCGGGGCCAAGGGGAGGGGCGTATGCAAATATGTTTATGTTAAAATCGGTCTTCGCTTTCCCCAGATCAAGGAAAAAGTGTTCTCTAGGGCGCTTGGAGTGTGGGGGTTCAGGCTCCAGGGGGCGGGTCTAGCTTCCCGAACACCTTTATTAGGAATGTTTACAGCGATCCCTGTACGTATCAAACCGTCGACTGGAGAACCTCCCTAGGAGGTTCCTCTGCCCGGTACTCCGTGTGCATCTGGCCTGGAAACCAGTCATTGCAAATTTCCGTCACTCACCTTGCACGAAGGAATAGATCTTTGGGAAACCGGGCTGTGCGGGAGTAGAGAGTGAGAATGCAGGTCCCCGGATTGACAAAACAATCTGGGAGAAGTGCATGCGTGCTTTGCACGTCCGGCGGAGCGGGAGAGCCTGTTCAACAACCTAGCGGCGGACTTGGGGATAGTTGAGAGACTGGAACCGTGGAGTCGGGTTCTGGGATTTTCGAGTCCGTGTCATTACGGTATATTCTCGAGAAAGGTACAACGAGGAGGGTACACTCAGGCTCCCCAGCTTGTTAAGGGTCTCCTCCCTGGTTTTAATATGTATATGTATTGTGTGTTTAATATATTTGTGGCATATGTGAAATATATTTAAGATTAAACGCTCACAACAAAAATTCTACCCTGTCAAGGCTTCAGGGGGAAGGCTGGTGTGGAGTAGGGGGCATGCTGAGAAGGAAGGGTCTACCATTTCCTCCCTCAAGACTCAAACCCACTCCCTCCTCCTTTACTCCCCCAGACCTTCCTAAAGCGACTGGACACCAACAGGTGCTTTCAGCTTCCCGGGTCTCTGGGAGAGGTTCTCCTGCTGAAGTGACTTGCATCTTTGGACTCACTCTCCCTCCCTCAAATTACCTTTGTTTTCTTTCCAACCAAGCAGCCGGCTCTCTTGTTTGTCTGCTTTTTAATTACTTATTTTCTTCCCCTCTAGAAGATCGTGTGCGCTCTGACCCTCTGTTGCTCAAGCATCAAATTGAAGGACGAGCCATATTAAGTGTAAAGGTTTATAATAATTTAAGTATTCATAGAATGCAGAACAATAAGATGTAGGAAATACAATTTGCATAATAAATATCAATATCACAACAGCTAAAACAAACCATGACAAATTATCTGTGGCTAAATGACCAAGAGATTACTGAATGTAAATTGCTAAATCTGCGCTGTAGTCTAGAAAAGCTGCACCCAGTGACTTCTCTAGCCCTCTGTCCTCCTTTTGCTAAAAAAAAGAATAAATAAATAATAAAATATATAAAAAAATGAAGTCATGATCTGCCAACCCACCAAATGAGTTACACTTTCAAACAGCCTCCTATTATCCATTATGCATAAACTAATTTCGATACTGCCCTGTCTTCCCAGCCCTGGATATTCTGCTCTGTAATTACAGGCCCGGATGCAGGAACTGCAGGCAGTCCTCCAGAAGTGGGGAGAGTTCCAGCAGGCAAATCGCAGCACATGAGGCAGGAAACCAACATCACATGGTCACCAGGTTTGCAAATGCCCTAATGCAAGTGTCCAGACTGCAGATCTTACCTATGCTTTATCACCTCTGGATATGAAGCCGCCTAGATCAGAAATGATGCAAAGCAGAGTCCTGTCAAAATCAGAATTAAAAATTTGAGGGCATATATACATAAGCTGAAAGTGATGTGGAAACTATAAAATCAGGTCTTATGTGCCAGGAACACTAGCACAGGGCCTAGAACACAGTAATAGTAATATTTGCTGTTATTATTACTACTATTCTTGTATTTATTGAGTTCTTTTTAGTATTTTGCATGCAAAATCTCATTTAATCCTTGGAACAATCTCCAAGGTGCCTACTATTATTATCTCCTATTTTATGTTTTTTAAACATGGTAGAAAGATTAAGCAACAACCCTGAGCTCACAGTTTCTAAGTTGCAGATAGGGCCTGTGCAATTAACCAATATGCTGTACTGGGTCTCAATAAGTATCTGTTAAGTGAATGAATAAATTTCGAATTACAATGTATGAATAATAAGCAAAGGATAGTTATATTTTTAACATAAGGTGAAAATACGCCAGCAACCCAGAAACATTTTTTAAAATAACAGAATTGCAATATACTCCTAAGGAAAATCATTCCTCGTGAGGCTGAATCTCCAAGAGAATCTAGCCAGGCCCCATTCCTCCCACACTCAGAACACAGTATGGGGACATTGGAAGATGTGGAGTGTTTTCATCTCTCTTCATTCTCTTGGCACATCAAGTGAACACCTACTCAAATTTCCAGTTGGCAAAGAACAACATGGGACATTTCTATAGGAAATGCTAATGCTGTATGACTTACCTCACTAGAGGAATGCAAATAGCTTTAGAAATTTCCGCAGAAACGCCACCTGTGCCATAAGATTAAGGAACACACACATCCAATTTCCCAGGTACAGAAACTGAGTCCTGGCACACCTTTAGCATTGGGATCTCCATAGAAATAATCAGAGGTGAGAATTTAGGATTAAGCTGTTGCTACTGTATCCACTAGCCATGCTCCTCTCCCACCCCCAGCTCTTTCACACTAACGATGTCGCCAAGTGATTTAACATATGGAACATGTGAAGAACGTATCAAATTCCCACAGCCGCTAAGTACAAGTTATGACTACTCTGGCTTTCTCATAGTAAAGCTCGTCATTTTCTGCTCCATGGACTAGAACTCCTCGCCAACTACAAGTTCCAACTATTTTTCCCCTTGCTGCATGGATTTAACCAATTTTGAAAACCAGATGGTGTTTTTGCCATTTATAACTGATAATCAATTGTTTTGTGAATTTAATTTTTCAAGAAAGAACTGAAATACTTATCAGAATTACAATCTGGGTGCTACTTGTGTTAGAACAAAATTGCCAAAAGCACCAAGAGCCCAGCTTTTTTTTTTTAACTTTATAGAGAGAGACCTTATATTGTTTGCCTTCACTAAAACAGTTGAGAAATGTGGATAAACATATATGAAAAGTAAGCAATAAAGGGAGATTCATGTTTTGGGGAATATATCAGAGATAATAAAAAGTAGTAACATCTTGCTTGTTAAAATACCAATTATTTTAATACCCATGTATAAAAAGCAACAAAGACAAATTATTAGGAGAACAGTATTTGGAGTCAGCATTTGCCCTGCTGATGGATTTTTAAAGTACCAACAGAAAAGTGTTTTAATCCATATCATGGATTATTTGTGTCCCCCCCCCCCCAGAATTTATATGGTGATGCTCTAGCCTCAGTGAGATGATAGATGTGAGAACTTTAGGTGATTAGATTTAGATGAGGTCATGAGATTGAGACCCTTATGATGATATCAATGCCCTGATAAATACAGGAAGAGACATCAGAGTTCTCTTTCCATGAACATTCAGAAAGGAAAGGTTAGGTGAGTGTACAGTCAAAAGGCAGCCCTCTGCAAGCCAGGAAGAGGACCTTCACCAGAACCTGACCTTGCTGGCACCCTGATCTTAGTCTTAAAACCTCCAGAACTTAGGGAGAATAAATCTCTATTGTATGACATTTTGTTATAGTAGCCAAAGTGAACTAAAACAATCTGTAAGCTGCATTTGGGTATATGGAAAGAATTGTGTCAGTTTTTTATGGAGAAGGATGCTGCAAATTAAAGAAGTTAGCAATGTATTAGAATATTGGGCTGAATAGACTCTCAGTCCTATCTAGTAGATAGTTCTTGTATTCTTAGATTAAGACTGAACAGCTCATCTTTGGGGGAATCCGTCTATGAATCTTTATGAAATTCAAAGCCAGCTAAATCCATATTCCTAAATGAGTAATTTAACACTTTACCCGAAGGTTTATTCTTTTAGAATCATGGAGTTGACGATAAACTCTTGAATATCAAGAGTTGAATATCAGTTTGAAAGGAAGAAAAGTACTGAAGTAGGTTGCAGAAAACTACACACAAACTGGGTCAAGGAGCAGCCCCAATTCCCATGGAAGGGAAATTTACCATAGAGACCCAAGTCATAGTTTGTGCCAATCAACTATCTTGGAATATATCCAGGTATACGTGGCCACTCCAAATATGCACTCACTAGAACAAAATACTGTATAGAGCATCTCCATGGAACAGTCACTGTTAAATTCTGGAAATATGAAGGTGAATGAACAAGTTTATCTACTGTCCTGGAACTAGGAGTAAAGTAAGGGAGATAGACATACACCACAATTATTATATATATAATGAATGTTTTATAATATATGGACACAGCTCTATGTGAACAGAAAAGGGAGGCACCTAACTATTCTCAGAGGGCAAGTATCAATGTCTATGTATGAGGGAAACATCAAATGGGAGAATGTTCTTCAGCTGAGTCTTAGAAGTTGAGGAAGACTCCACAGGGCAGACAGAGATATGCTGGAGCAAAGGGAAGGTGTGACAAGAGAGAAAGGTCATTTATAAAGTGCTAAAAGCTTATGTTACAAATATAATGACTGAAGTTGCAAGTAGAATGGATCACAGATCGCTAGAGGACAAGCGGCAAGAAAGGAAGCTAGAAAATATAGAGAGAGACCAGGGAATGCCTTGATTGACACACAAGAAGTTTTGACAGTTTACTTTAGGTAATGAGAAACCATGGAACTAATAGAATCACATGACCAGATTTATATTTAAGAAAAAATGAATCCCAGATTTGTACTTTCAGTATTGCAGTGGGTGTTGGTATCAATCGCTTCAGGTAGGGACACAAGTATGGAACAGACTTGTTTGATTGTTTATTGTTTGTTTAGGGGATGAACACTGGGAAGAAGGTAATAATTTCATTTGGGGACAAGTTTATTTTGAAATGTCTATGAAATATTTAGCCAGGCAATAAATCATCTAAAATGGTGGCTAGACCTCAGGAAAGTGCGCT